AACAGTCAGTGCAAAGGTCCTGAGGCAGAAGGGCTGCATGCTGTATTGGAACTAGAGCAGTGAGGCCATTGTGGAGCTGAGTAAGAGCAGGGGAGAGAGAGTAGTAGATGATAAAGTCAGAGCAGTAATTGGGAACAGGGCACTGGATTATATAGGGTTTTATTGATCATTGAAAGGATTTTTGTATTTTACTCTGAGTGAAATAAGGAGCCTTTTGAGGAAAGGAGTGACATGCTTTGATTTTTACTTTTAAAGAATCACTCTGTCTCTTGTGTTGAGAATAGTCTGTAATACGTCCCAAGGATCAATGGATAAGCTGCAGAAGCTTGTGGTTACAAATCATCAATCCCTGTGATTGTTTTAAATACCCTGTTTAAATATGGAAGAAATACTTTTTGCCTTTTGATAATCACTGATTATCAGAATAGGGCTGATAGGGCTGATAGTAGTAAAGATGCTAATCTGTAGGTATAAAATAAATTTTTTTCTTCGTAGGTTCTTTCTGATTGTTTTATGCTTTAAGAAGCAGGAAGTTGTGGGGGGGTGGTCTTGACAATTGGGTGTTATCCAGGAAGTTCTTAATAAATGAAGCTCTAGAATGGGGCGCTGTCTAGAGTACTGAAAACCACTTACTACAGAGTTCTGCCTTCTTGCCGGTATAGTACATCTTACTTACAAGAGTTACTTTGAGAAATGTGATTTATGCTCTTTATCTTTTGATTAAATTTAACTTCACAGGAAAAGTGAAAAAGATTTGTATCAGACCATGAAATCATCTTTTCAGCCTTTAGCCTAATAAAGTCCAACTGACTTAATTTCTTTTTAAAGATGGGAGAACTAGATAGCTTTCCAGCTGTACTCATGTCAAATCTCCCTTGTTTTAGGCATTATGTGCATTGACAATATTAGCTGTGTCTTTACTAAAATGTAATTAAATATGCTTCCCAGAAACACAGTAGAAATTTTGTGACTCTCCATTAATGCCCCTTTGGGAATTGACTCATTTAAAAATTTGCTTATCTATGTTCCCAACCCCCATCCTTTTCACTATTTTTAGAAGTTGGTGTGTCTTCCATCAACAGGCCATAATTTTTAATGATGTTTGCTTTTGTCCCCTGATGCAAGATTTATTTTGGAAGTCTTTCTGTATGGGAGTAAGAATTTGACAATTGGTGCTCGTGAATTGGTTTTGGGGCCTCATGGAAACAACGTACGGTGATGAGGTTAGTTCCTGCAAGACACTTCTGGCGTAAATAATGCCTTTTCAGTTGGTTTCATTGGAGCCTAGTAGCAATGCTTGATAGTTATTACTCTATAGATTAATTAAA